AGAAGCGAAACGACGTATTATGAGTAAACCCCAGTGAGAAGTTTTGCATCCATGCCTACCATACACGAGAAGAGAGGAATCCTTCGTTTTACAAAAGAATTCTTCACTTTACGTAGCAAGTCATAACCAGATCAGCTATCGAATGATAGAAAAATTTACCCCCCCACAAAAGGTTATTTTATTCATTTTTGAAAGACTATGAGGTTCCCAACAATGTGCCCAGAACTGTGCGAGAGTCATGAACCTCAAAGAAATCAGAAACTCATTTCAGAAGAATTTATAATCTAAGTTGAGTGCACTATTCCTGGCATGTTGAAAGTATGACTACATGCATAAATGAACCAAATAAAACAATTGTTATTTAATAAAGTCATGTGCAGAATTTTATAGGAAGCGTTTATCAGTTCTTGAGGATTCAACAGAAGGGACTTACTGTTGAAAGCTGGTTCACAGAATTAGCTCAGACTTCAAAAGTTTATGTAGAGATCTATTTCCTGAAATGGCTCTTTTGGGAATTGATATCAAAATAGTGATTAATTATATCACTTTAGTTGCAGAAAGTATTAACTTTGACATAACCAGTCAGTTTTTTTTTCTTCATTCTCCTTTTCTCTCCTAAGAAGTAAAAATTGCAAGAATTCCACTGAGTGCTCCATTGCTTTCTATAGAACTCAAGACTTTCAAATTTAAAGGAACCCATGTTTTACTTCTTGTTGGTAACATTAGGAACGTGGAAACAGTTCCTACTGGTGATAATAAATAATATTTGCTGGTTGCACCATGCAAAATGGATTATCTCATTGATCCTCTAAGTAAGATTTATAGACATGGAAACTACTCCTTAGTGAAGTTAAGTAACTTGGCAAGGATTAGCAGCTCGTAGTGCAGGGGAACAAGGATCAGGCTTGAGTTATACAGAAAGCACTGGAGCAGTCTGTGGAAGAGCTAGCAATTTTTGCTTCTTAGGAGAGAAAAGGAGGATGAAGATTAAAAAATAAACAGTCATGACCCACTCTCATTATCATATACTATCTATTTCAGGTCTGTTAATATTTGTTTTATGTATTTAGGTCCTTCTGTATTAATACATAAATATTTATGAGTCTTATATTCTCATGTTGGATGGGTCCCTTTGTTATTACTGATTTTTAAAAAAATTAAAGTCTTTGAAAGTTAAAAAAAATAAATAAATAAACAGTCATGAAAGGGGTTTCAAGCCCAACCTGTGGCATTAATGACTTTTCCAGATTCTGCTGCTCAAAATCTTACACAAACCCTACCCCTTAATTTTAAACCAGGTTCTGCTTAGTACAACATGTCCTCAAATGTTATTTCCTTATTAAGCTGATGAGGGGAAAAAATACACTGAATGAGATATTATGGGAGGATCTGCTTTCCTTATAGGGCATGTAGCATACAGTTGCTTTTTCTAAGAACCTACTGACATTGAGGGCTTATGATGCAGCAGGGTGGAGCCCCAAGTCATAGGAACCAAGACGGTGCAAATTCACCGTCATCAGTGGATGTTCTTGCCCAGGCAAGAGGGAGACAGGTGGCATATACCTCCGTTTTCTAACCTTGAGAGATGAGCTAGTGCCAGGGAATGACACAGATACTGCAAACGCTTCAGTTTTGTTGCATTTATGTTTGAATGTGAGTATAATGTGAGGTTCAGGAAGTTAAATAAAGTATGTTAAGTCCTCAGGGTGGCTCCAAGACCTGTCCTTTGCTTCATGCCATGCTGCCTACCTTCCCTTGTTTCCTTCGTGCTGTATGACCTCCCTGAACACTCTAGTCTCCTCCAATTTGTTTGCCTAAACAAATTGAAGATGAATTTGAATGGCAGAATAGAAGGCAAAATCCACCAAGGCAGGTTAGGTAAAAACCTGTTTTGTCTAATTTGCTGTGCACATAAACCACCCAAATTAAAAAGGGCTGAATATAAAAGTTAGGGCTGATCACACCTATTCATCATCCTATGTCCACGTCTTCTTCACTAAATGGTTGATGACTATCTTCCACAAAGATATCATGGATTAGAAGGTCTAATCAGCATTACTTACTTGGCCTTCTGAGAACGTATGTTTGAAATGGTTAGCTGTATGAACATCATTGAGTTACTTTACCTTTCTGGGCTTGGTTTTCCTATTCTGTTAAAAAGGAAAATTGTCTAGCTCACAGGGTGAGAATGGAATGCATCTGTGGAAAGTACCTAAAAGTGTCTAATGTATGTTATCTCCATATTTTGGTTTTATATCCATTGTCCTTTGTGGAATTCTGACCAAAGCGTGCTGGCCCAGGACTAGCTGACCGCTGTTTCATTTTCTGGACCCTGCAGTTTGTAGCGCATGGGTGTACTCTTCCCATCTCCCTCAGTGTTCTAGGACCAGGGGTCCTAATCTTCTTTTTGGCCTTTACCTTAACTCTTCATTCATCCATCCCACCACGGACACTGCTCTGCCAGCCATCAGGCTGCTCACACAGTCTCAGGTGGGCTCTGGCCCACAGCCCAGAGCACAACATTAGTTCCTGGTTCACGCCTGCTCTGAACCTTCCAAACTTCCTCGCCAGACTACTGGTAACAAGGCAAGGTAACAGGGAGGTTCCAGGCTCCCTGCCCATACTAAGAAGGGTGGAGCTGAGCAGGGAGGAGAAGCTAGTGGAGAGTGGAGGAAGGAAGATCAGGAAAGAGGCTTGAGGCGGCACATGGAGATACGTGTGAAGTTGAGCTTGTTTCTTGGCCTTGGATTTGTACCAGGGACTTGAGGGACATGCAAGGAGACAAAACAGATGTGGGTGAGACACCTGTGGGGAAGCTGACAGTGGCAGCTTTTATCTGGATTAGGATCTGCTCCTCTCCTTCCAGACTTACCTGGCCCTTTTTGCCCCTTCTTCGGGTCCCCACCAGGAGGTGCCTTAGACTTGTGGCAGCACTTGGGCCTCAGTGGCCCTGCTTTGGGTCAGCCCTGTTTGGGTGGGCATTTATTTATTCATGAAGGGATGGGTAACTTCTGGGTGTTTCATGTGGAAATTATCTATTCTTTTCCTTCTCTTCTCTTTATTGCATGTTATATTAAAGTTCCTTTCCATTGAAGGTTTTATGCACTAGAGCATATTTTGTCTTGATGAGGTGGATGGCAGAACCCACTTAGAGTGGGAAAGTTTGGGAGGCCTGGGGCCCCTTTCACCCTGCTGAATAACTTCTCTTCCGATGCCTCAGCCTCTATCTTCCATTAAACTAATGAAACAAGCAGGCCATTGGACAAGATGGCATGAATGCCTTTTTGTAGCCCATGTAAGCAACCAATACCTAAACCTCTAGGCTTTGATATCTAAAACTAAGTACAACCCATCACAAATTGCCAACTTGGATTCCCCAATTAATGCAAGGAAATTATTGCCAAGGAAATAATTCCCTCGCTTTGCTCCCCCTCTCTGAAGTCTCCCCCATGCTGTCAGAGCAGCACTTCCAGACACTTCTGGTTTGGCACTGCTGCATTCAAATCCATTTCTGCTTAAACAAGCCCTGAAAAAATGTAATGTATCTCAGTTTATCTTTGCACACTTCTCAGCTTTCCATCACTGAGATTTTCTTCCCGATGAACTCACCAAGGCAAATCTTTTATGGTCCCTAAACCTGGCCATCTGTCAGAGTCACTGGGTGAGTGGGTGGAAAATATGGATTCCCAGGCCAGCTCCCAGATTTACTAAATTGCAGTCTCTAGGGATGAGACTGGGGATCTGAACAGGTAGCTAATGAGTGCGTAGCCCAAAGTTCACTCACTGGGGGTGAGGAACAAAAATGAACCGAACTCAGGCCTCTTTTGTGTCGCTGATGCAGCCAACTCCAGGCTTAGACACCTCTTTGTCCTGTTGCCTTTCCAAGGGCAGATGCTCTGGGGATTATCTCTCACCAAGGACACCTCTGTACCTCTGATCAGTCTTATACAGAAGTGGAAGTACCTCCCTCCCAGTCTGCCTCAAACTGATATCCTATTCCCTCTGGGCAGAATTGTATGGTTGTTCTTAACTACAGGCATTCTTGGCTCCACAGCTGTATTTTGGAGAGGAGACTCTGTGTGTGTGCGTGTGTGTGTGTTACAAAATCTTACTGTTTTTTAGTGCGGTTACTAATATTCAAAAATAACAAACTCTTTTGTAGGGACACAGAAAATCATTTTCTTTCCTTTCCAAAGATGACAAAAGCAGCTACAGTGTGAAAGGGGAGATAGTCCATAAGACTGATGGGCTCCCCCATCAATATGTCCCTACCGGCATGTCAACCGGCCAATTTGAGGCTGTGCGCTATTGCTCCTGTACCCAATGATCTTACCAAATCAAAATCATGCAACAGGCCAGCAGTTTGCTTTCCCAGATGCTCATTCGGAGGTCACATCACATGCTACTTTGACTCTGAGCACCCTGCAGGCAGCACAGACTCCTCCTGACTAGAGACGAGGGTGTTTGTGCTGGCAGCGGACACCGACCAGCCTCTGCCGAAGTCCTGGCGGAGGTCTGCCCCAGGGTGATGCCCTGGGTGACTTGATTTAGACTTCTCTGCAATGGAGTGTTTCTAGCCCATACATGGTTAGAAGAAGGTCTGGAAATGGATTTGTTAAAGTCTGGTGTGTCTGGGTGTGAAATCTCAGGAAGAAGTTCTGCTACGCAGACCTTTGACATTTCCAGGACTCTGTGATCTGTCTCACTCTGGCAACCTTCCAAGGATTTTCTGGATCCTTTGTTCCATGGAATCCCCTCCACTGAAGATCTTGAAGTCCTTGCAGGTGAGGGCACACCTTACGTTGCTGTCAAGAGCTGTTCATTGAAAAGCTGGAAGGGTTTGTGCTATCCTACAGGCATTTGGTATTCTATTAGATCTCTTCCATCTCTAATCATACTAGCAATTGAGAAAACTGCAAAAGATATGGGAAGAATATTCTTTAAAATAAAGACAAAAAACTTTGCCTTTCAATCATATTGCTTCCATTTCAGTTACTTACTAGTTCAAGTCTCTGGGTTTATGCACGGTTCACTATGTCATTCAGCATTTCTCTTCCCTCTGTAAATCACTGGAAAGGGCAAGGAAGTGACCACAGGATACATTAAAGATGCAGGCTCGCTTTCTAAAGACTTTAAATGTCTCTGAGCTTTCCATTAGCATTTTGATTTGAAATGCTATTTTTGCAACATGTTACAGCACGGAAACAGGAAATTAAGAGACTGAACTGTTTGATGGGTGAGAAGAAACTGACCAACAGGCCCTGGGAACCTAGCAGAACCAGAGAAGCAACATGCCTGTACCTGTGTGTTCTTTCCTAGCTCTTCTGGAGTTTCGTGGGCTCTCTTCTACCTGGGGCCTCTGCACCTGTGTGCACGGCCTCTCTAGGCAACTTTGTGTGTGAACCATTGGACAAGGCGCTCCCGCATGACTGCCCTGAGACAATGACCCACATCACGAGGTGGCCAGGACGCCTATGTAACTGTTGACTGATTGTGTGGTCAGGGTTCAAGGCGGTCTGGGAATAGCTAAAAAATTACAGCAAGCACCTGCACAGGAAGTTCTCCTGGACATGCAGCCAACATGTCCGTCCTGTTTTCTCTATAATTGATACCCTTTGATGAAAATGAGTGTCCTTTGTTTCCCCTGGACTCTGTTTCTCCTGCCACTGTCACATAATCAGCCATGCTTGTTCAGTATTACTAAATAAACAGCAAGAGGGCTGTTCACTGGACAGCAGGGTCATGCCTCGCAAACCTGCTTCACGACTCCTCTCTTAGCGTGTCTCTGGAGACGTGCCACAGCATCTTTGACGACAAGCTGGAAACTGTGGTCAAAGTTTGAGAACTATTACTTAAGCAGTGTTTCTCAAACTTGAATACACACATACCCACATCAACTACCTGCAGATTGAGCAAACCAGGGTGTGGCCTAACAGTGTGCACTTTGTACAGCTTCTGGTGAAACAGAGGAGTAGTTAAAAACCAGACAACAGATCCAAAAGGAAATCATTTCTGCTAAGCCCCATGTCACTTACTTAGTTTCAGCTCTCCCAGAAATGGAACCTTAAACTCATGACTCAGGAACTGCCTGGTCAGCTCCAGTTAGGTAATTCACCTGAAAGACCCCTGCTCTCCCCTAAAGGAAAGTAACCGTGCAATAACAACTCACTTTTTGCCCTGAATAACTCATCTGTCACTGCTCCCTTTTGCCTATAAAAGTGTCTGTTTTGCACAACTCCTCAGATTTCATTCTCTCTGCTAGGTGGGATTTAAGTTCTGCTGCCTGATTTGAGCTGGTTTTTGCTCAACTAAATTAAACTTCTGTATAAGCCTTAGTTTGTCTTTTAACAGTAACCAGGTCTAAGAGTAATGTTTTTCAAACTTAAAAAAAAAAAATCATTGAAACTCTTTCCTAAAGAAAACCAACATAAATATACCACTCCTCCTCCTGGGGGCCTCCCAAGATTCTTATACCACCTCTCCATCGCTCAGGGGAACATGAATTAAAAGTCATCGATACTGGAAATAGGGTTTAAGAATGCAGACTGAGGGCCACGCACATTTCCCTGGAGACCGGGGCTTATGATCTCCAATACTTAGGGAGTTTTAAAGCAATTTTTTTTATAAAACTGAGAAGTTTCTTCACAGTTTTAATAAGCTAGCCCTGTTTTCCCTTAGTTAACAGGAACAAAAAAACATTAAAAATTCATAGGGATTGTGCTTATTTCAACCCTGCATATGGAGTAGAACTGGAAAGCCTGTGTCCTACTGTGCTCAAAACAGTCAGTGAAGAGAAACTCTGGACCCAGCCCCTGCCAGTGGGAGTGTTAGCTGGACCAGCTTTGACCTGGGGGTTTACTGGTAGGAAGACTTCATTTCCATGCACACACTCTGAAGTCAACCATGTCTGACTCTGGGGGGGGTCCATCTTGTTTAATTTGGGGTTGATAATATCCCTTGGGACTTTTCCCAAGGCCCTGAAGCAAGCAGAACCTTAAAAGAGGGCTAATTTGCGACAATATCGGTGGAGCTGGGGGGGGGGGGGAGATAATGCTAAGTGAAATAGGTCAGGAGGAAAAAGACAAATACTATGTCCTCCACACATGGAATATAAAGAAACGAAACAAAGGAGGAGACAAAACAAGGCCTAGAATCATGACTACAGAATTGAGTTTACCAGAAGAGGAGGAAGGTAGGAAACAAAGCAGGAGGGGACGAGTGGCCGAAGGTGGAGGTGCTATTGTGGTGGGTGGTATTGTAACAGGGGGTCCCTAGGAAAGGGGGAAGTTCCAGGTTCCCTGCCCCACCCAGGAGGATGGAGCTGAGCAGAGAAAAAGAAGAGAAGAAAGGGAGAAGAGGAAGAGAATGAAGCTGGGTGGAAAACAAGGAGGAGACCTGAGGAAGCCACATGGAGCAGCAAGTCTGTGAGGAAGAAGCCATGCTTGTCTCCTGACCCTGGACTGGTTAAGGCAGATGTGGATGAGAGACCTGTAGGGAGCTGACTATGGCAGTGTTTATATTGATTTTGATGTTGCTCTTTTGCTCTCAAATTTGTCTGGCCATTTCTGACCCTTTTCCATGGCTCAGGGCCAGAAGGTGCTTTAGTCTAGTGGCAGCTTTCAGGCCTTGCTTTGGGCCAATCCCTTTTGAGTAGATGAGGGGATGGGTCACTTCAGGTGTTTGATTTTGAAATTATATTCTTTGTGTTCCATATTGTATATTCACTGTATTAAAGTCCCTTTTCATTAAAGTTTTATACGTTTTGTCTTGTTGTGGTGGATGGCAGAACCCACTTAGAGCAGGCAGGTTTGGAGGCTTCAGGGGTGCCCCTCTCTCCCCTGTCCTGAAACAGATTTGGGGTGCCCTGTAACAGTATGTGATCACATCCATCTGAAGAGGTGTGAACCTGTTCCCCTAAAGCATATACAATCAATAAACCAATGCTACCTGGATAAAAAAAAAAAAAAAGTTTAAAAAAAAAGCATGGTGAGCATTCCTCCTGGTCACAAACTGTGAGTCATCTCTGCAACCCAGACCAAGAATAGACCCTACTGGGTACCCAGAGCGTAGGCAAGATTAGCCTGAGCAAGTCTGAGAAGGTAGTGAGGATAATTTCCCCTTTCCGTGTCCCTTTTCTGCTTGATCTCTACCCCTGCAAACTGAAAACAGACATCCTGGCTTCCTGAAGGCTGCCAGCAGTTTCCCTCTAACCCAGCCACTAAAGGTGTGGTCAGACAGCAGTGATGTCACCAGCAACACTTAGACCCTGTTAGAAGTGCAAAATCTCAGGCCCTGCCCACATTCACCAAATCAGAATCTGGTGTCAATAAAGCCCCAGGTGACCTGTGTGCACTTAATGCTTGAGAAAGACCAACTGCTAGAAAGCAGCTGTTCTCGGTCTTAGCTACAGAAGCATCTAAAGAATGGTCAAAAATCCTGATGCCCAGATTTTTCCTGAAGCTAGTTAAATCAGACTTCCTGGGGAGAGAGTCCAGGCATCAGATGGTGAACAGGACTGGGAAACACTCTCTGAAGTGAGGGTGAAGTGGCTCTCTCTGAATATTTACATTTTCCTGAGCAACTCTAGATGGTGGAAAGGACTCTAGAGTCAAAAGGAATTCATTCCAAAAACAGAGGCAGCTAACAGGGGAGAAATTACAGAAGAGAACAAGAACCCCTGTGTCACAAAAAGAAAGAATTTGCCTTTCTGACTAATTGAAGAGTCAGCTTTGGCATGGCTTCATTAAGTCTAAGAATGCAACAACAAGACCTGCTAGCCTAGGGGTTAAGTCTCAGTGCTATCATCACTTTGATCTGAGTTCAATCCCCGGTCAGGAAGCTGACCCACATGGCACAGCAGACCTCTCCTGTCTCCCCGCTGCTCCCCTCAGTAATGTGCTTCATAGATCTACCTGTTCCACTGCCCACTTGGTCTCTGGTGAATCTTCTCACCACCCTGTACCTGTGGCCTACACCCCAGTTCTTCTGCAGAGAAGTATTTTTAAAAATAATAACATGAAGTAAAATAAAATAAAATAATAATAATAACATGAAATATAACAACAAAAATTCCCTTCTATGCTACCCTTGAGAAAAAATGACTTACCCATTCCAAGTGTACTTCCAGAACAGGTTACTGTAAAAAATCAAAATGTAAACATTTAAAATATGTATAATGACATACTGAAGGTGGTAAAGATATAACTAAAGAAAGAAAAACAGAAGAGTGAAGCCCAACAAACATAATAACCAGCTTGGGTAATATCAAAAGAGATACCTACTAGCAATAGACCTTGGGCAAGTCACTTCACTTTTTTGCATCTCAGTTTATCTGTAAAGTCGTAAGAATAAGAATCCCAATCTCATAGGGTTGTTAGAGTTGAGTTAACACATGTAAAGCCCTTAGAATAGTTATTCATCACAAAACAATAAAAATTGGTAATTATTATCATTAACAATGTGTCATCTTAATTAACCCAGTTAGGTATCACTGATATTGAAAAAAAAAAAACATTAAAATAAAACTCCCCCATGCAAATTAAAACCACAATGAGATACCACCTCACCCCAGTGAGAATGGCACATCTTCAAACAACTAGCAACAACAAATGTTGGCGAGGATGTGGAGAAAAAGGAACTCTCCTGCATTGCTGGTGGGAATGCAAACTAGTACAACCACTATGGAAAACTGTTTGGAGGTTCCTCAAACTGCTAAACATGGAGCTTCCCTATGACCCAGCAATCCCACTCCTAGGTATCTACCCAAAAGACACAAAAACACTGATTGAAAAAGATACTTGTACCCCCATGTTTATTGCTGCTTTATTTACAATTGGAAAAACATGGAAGCAGCCCAAATGCCCAAAAGTAGATGACTGGATAAAAAAGATGTGGTACATATATACAATGGAATATTACTCAGCAACCAAAAAAGAGAAACACATGTCTTTTGCAGCAACTTGGATGGAGCTGGAAAAGATCATGCTTAGTGAGATAAGCCAGAAAGAGAAAGAAAAATACCGGATGGTCTCACTCATAGCAGGAGTATAATGGACCAGGCGAGAAAATAACAAAAATAATGAACAACCATAGACCAGAGACATTCTGTGGGGGTGGAGTGGGGAATGGGATCAAAAACGGGGGGGAGGGAAGGGAGGGAAATGCATGGGACTATGGTGGTGGCACAGGAGTGATTTGGTGATGGGAAACCCGTGGGGATTACAATTGAGATGAAAAAAAAATGTACAAAATGATGTAAAAATAAACTTTTTAATAAAAATAAATAAATAAAACTCCCCCAAAGGCATGGTTTTTACTAAGACGCTGAGCAGAGGTGGGGTTCCTGACTTGAGTCTACATACCCAATCCTTACTAAGATGAAATGCTGCAGGCATGAGATAGCACCCCACCCAAGGGAGTTACAGCCCTCACTGCCAGGGCCTCTGGTGGTAATGGACCACCAGATAAATCCCCCTCCAAGGGTTGAATGTGGATATAGGGCAGAAGAAATAACAAAATATCTGTCTCATTTACTGACTATGATTACAGACAAACATGTAAACTCGTGTATTTATTCTTTTTAAAATTTTAAATATATTAGTCAATAGTCATGTCTCAGTACTGAGAATGTGAGACATTACCATTCATTAGAAATAACACACACCCGACTTCTAGTAGTAGTATGGCGTGGGAAAGATAAGGGTGATGCTGGGTCAGAAGGGAGGGAGGACTCACTCAGCCTATGGGAATTGGAGAAGACTTCACAGAGGGGACTTGGAGCTAGGTAGAGTTTCCCTGGAAGTGGGTGGGTTCCCAGCAAAGAGAAGAGAGCCGTGGTGGCAGCGTAGAAGTGTGAGGTGGCCTGGTGGGGGGCGGGGGGTGCCCATCCAACCTGCAGGACTGGCTGTATTCGCCTGGTGCCGTCCACACTCCTAGGTCCAACCATGATGGTGTGTGCGGGGCCAGGGCAGGTGTATGTGAATGATGTCGGGTGACTAGAGTACAGAATCCTGGAGGAGGTGTGTTGTGGGATGAGCCTAGAATTGCACTGTCCAATGCAGTAATCACTCCCACTTGTAGCTGTTGAGCACCTCAAATGTGGCTAGCCCGAACTGAGATGTGCTGTGAAGTATAAAACACACATCCTTTGTGTCTTGGATCTCCTTGGTCTGGGGTGGTGGTGGGGTCCAAAAAACCTATTTGTGGCGTTTATTCAGGATTTCCTTTTTCCCTAGCAGGACCCTGATACAGTGCTCAGAGGATTGAATTTTATCCTGTGGGGCATGAAAAATGGAGGCTCGTGAAGCATAAGAGTAACTCAATCAGGTTAGCTTCCTGGACTGAGCAGTGTGGTCATCAGTGAGAAGACTCGGTGACAGCAGAAGGCAGGAGTGCAGTGACCTGGGAGAGGTGGAAAGAGACTGAGAAGAGAAGCAGCTGCAGGGATGAAGCTGTGAAGCTGGACTTACAGACTGTCGCACAGTGAGCAGGCGAGGATGTGGGAACTACTAAGAGATGGACAGCAAGACAGAGGGATGCAGGATTTTCAGTTTTTTACCAAAACAAAGATGGGAGGAAGATCAGAACTTAGAACACTAGGAGTTCCTTTTAACCTTGAGTTGATATGGGGCTCTTGCAGGTAGAAGTGTCACTTGAATATGGACTTAGAGGTTAGAAGAAGAGTTGGTCATGGGGGATTTGGAAGCTTCTGAGCCTTGGGTTTTTCATTTTTTAATTGAGATAATAAAATCTACTGAACCTACATCAAAGAGTTATTTGAGCATTCAATGAGACATTGAATGTGCAAACACTTAACAAATCGTAATATTATGCAACTATCACGCAAAATTGTTATCAAACTGTCTCCCAAAAGCTCAGCCTCACCCCACCCTTATGCTGTCCCTTCCTAGAGGTCATGCTTTGGGCCAGCTTGTCCTGTGGACAAGATAATGAAAAAGCAAGGAATGAGAGCATGACCAGCAAGGACAGACCTCCTCGTGAGGGACTGACTGGTTTGGCTCACACCAGGAACCTTCTTGAATCTTCAAGTCAAATATTTGTAAATTTTAGATTCTGGTGCCAGTAAGAGATTCTGAATCAATATTTATTCCTTTGCATGCATTCATTTGCAAAGTTCAGGGCTCTCTTTTTAAAAAAATTTTGAGAAATGTATGAAAAATAGATGACAATGCCTTGGGCAAGGTAACAGAAGGCACTGGAATACAGAGCAGGAGAATTGCTGTTTTCCTGCCAGTTCTGTGAGATGGCAGTTACTGACAAGCATGTTTTGTCATCCCAGATTGTCTGTCTACCCTTATTTCCAAACATAGCTTATGATTTATAAATTCACATTTTTTTCTGATCTTCTAGCTCTTCCTCAGTCATAAGCAGCAAATCTGTGCAAATAAAGGTCAAGTCTCTTAATTGCTAACACTCCAGGGTGTCTATTGTGCTCTCTACATTAAAATCTCAAAGCAAAGAAATCATTTAGAATTTACAATTTATACTGCAACATCTGGTCCTTTTTCTGAAGAAGAATAAAAGGAAGCAGAAGGAGAGTCATTTCTCCAAATCAATTTATGAAAAATATCCCAGTCCCAAAGATGGAGTCCTCATTGACAGAATCTGCCTGCAGAACTGTCACACCCGCTTTGTCCCACCTACATAGCAAATCAATATTATTTCCCTGACTTTTAATTCACAGTTCGGCCTAGTGTTAAATGAAGTTTCATTAAAAAAAAAAAAAAAGGATTCGTGTTTTCTTTTACCTGAATATATTTTTTTTGGGCAGAAAGTAAGCTTCAGTCCCGACTCGGCAACTGGTGAGACCATCACAGTATATACATCTCCACAGGGAATCTCAGTGATATCACAGAAACTGAGGCCAGCACTTGGGGTGCATGTGAAAACACCCTTGGAACCAGAGAGGTCAGTGCTGTAATTGGCTGAGCCCCTGGAAGCTTGCCAGTAGATTCTGATGCCATTAGGGCCCAGCCGATATAACTTCACCCCCAAAGGGCAGCAGGCACCTACAGGGCAAAAAACACAGAAACAAAATCACTTCAACACACCTGGCCACCAGCACACAGCCATGGCCTTACTACCGAGGGGAGACACTGAGAGGAACCATTTCTAAATAGGACTGGAGCAAGAGCTGAAGGGATACTCAAGTTCTTTTCGTAGGTAGGAAGCCAAAATGCTCTACTGCTCATGGGGTGGCAAAAATTCTATTTGAACACTCCCACCCCAAGACCCAGGGCACACATTAGCTAGCTGACCACTGAACTCTTTCCCATGGAGCCTGGGAGGGCATCCTCAGGAATTTTGCTTTTTTTCTTCTCTTAAAACAGAGTTCCAAGCAGCTACTTCAGAGGATTAGGAGCTTATAAGAGAAATCTTATTTGCTAACCCTTATATCTACCTTCCCCTCCTATTCCCTAGTGGTTTCTTTGTGAACAAGATACACAATGTGGTCAAAAGACAGTGCCTTTTTAGCCTGTTGAGAGACAAATCCATAAAAAGAGCTGGAGTGGCTTAGAAGACAGAGAGAGTAGCATAAAGACAACAAAGAGATAAAAATGCAAGTCAAATAGAAGGGCAATCTCAGTGCTTTCTAGAAACTCTGCAGACTATGTTACTCTCTGCTGCCAGCAGCAAGATCTTATATAAACTTTTCCCTTTTCAGAGAAAGTATACCTGGACCTTGCTATTAGCGGAGTTAATTCACCAACCACCAACAGAGACCTCCAAGGTATTGAGGTTCTAAGAGGAAACTAAATATTTTAGAAAGTAATCTGAATACATATATATATGAGCTGGGGTAAAGGCAACATCTTTTTAGGTGAGAAGGAAGGCTCGTCTGGAGTTGCCAGTTATAAGAGGGGAGCAGGAGTTCAGAATTCACCTACTGGAGGAGTAACCTTGGTAGGCGCAGCCCGCAGTCAAGCCAGTGGCACTAATTGCTTTCAATGCCACTGTGTAATTGACGCCACACGCGATGCATCCCAGGAGGCAGTGGTTTTGCCGGGTGTGACACTTGGACTGTCCAATGTGTGACTCCAGGTCGGTCACATAGGTTTGGGCCCCTGTACCAACGGTCCAGCTCACATTGATTACTGATTGGGTGACCTGCGTGACTGTCAGACCAGCTGGACAGCAAGGCACTTCAATGTGAAGAGACAGAAAGATTTAATGATTTATTTCATTTATTTATTTTGCTGTTTCATACAATATCCTAAAGTTTTCGAATCCCCAAGTATTAACCAAACTTACCTCTTATTAAGCATGATCTCATTCCCTCTGACACACCACTCTAACAGCAACTGTATATAGTGATGCTTTCCCCAAGAATTTGGGGCATTAACTACCTGTTGGTAATGTGAGGCTCCCCTCACCATTTCTTTTCTTTTTTTTTTTTTTTCAGAATAAAAAATAAATTATTTGGGACCTCCTTGGTGTCCTAGGGGTTAAGTCTCAGTGGTATAACCACTAAAGCCTGAATTTTATCTCAAGCCAGGGAGCTAACCCACCTACTGTTCCTCTTAGCAATATATTTCAGCAGATCCACCTGTTCTGTTCCCTCTTCCCCACTCTGTCTCTGGTGTCTCTGGTGAATACTCTTACCAGAGGCCCTCTGGCCTACAATCCAGATCTTCAATGGGAAAAAAAAAGTCCTTTGTTGTCCTCCAACTTAAAAAACTCCAGTTGCAAATTTCAAAGCTATATTTGCATTCACTTCTCCCAATATAAGATTTCCTAGTAATTGCAACTAAATGTCTTGCCTTTTCCACATATCTCATAGTACATAATTAATATAGGGGCTTGAAATATTTTTATCCTCCTAAGAATATCACAACCAAGTCTCAAATTTTCAGGGGCCCATTATACAGAATTTAAGATATTTAGAATCTTCCAGTACATTTGGTACTATCTCTAAACTGTTGCTTTTGTTTCAGCTCTAATAGTCTAGGCCATCTATCATTGTGCACAGAAGAAAAAATAATGTCTGAAGACTTTAAGTACTTTCCTAAATTCCCTTCACATTTGCTTACAAAGCCACAATCCATCTCTTTCACAAACCTCTTACTATGCACCAGGCACTATGCTAAGTGCCTTGCAGCACTAATTAACTGAATACCCAAACCACCCAATGAGAACATTATTCTCCTTTAATCAATTAGGAAACTGAAATTCAAGAAACATGTTTCAGAGAAAAATTTCAAAGAGTTGAGCCAAAGGAATAAATAAAAAAACAGGCTACGTGGCCACTTTTTAGTAGTCTGCATAGTGTGTGTGTCATGGGGGGAATGTGAATTCACATAAATGTTTTTGCTGTCAATGTATCTCTCCTTTGATACTAGTTTATGAGGCCATTGGGGCCTCTGATGTTTCCACAGAATTATGTGTCCAAATGGTGAACGTTTTGAAGACTAGGGCTCGGACATGTCTCTTAGTTAAAAGTATTTTATATCGGGCCCTCCCTGGTGGCTCAGTGCTTAAAGCACAGCACTGATGAAGCTAAAGCCACTTCCGCATGAGTTCAATCCCCGCCTGCCCCGGAGGTGACCACATGGCGCGGCAGACCTCTCCTGACCCGCCTGCTGCTCCCCTCAGCAGTGTACTTCGTCGATCTGCCTGTTCTGCTCCCCACTCTGTCTCTAGTGAAGCCTCTCGCCACCCCTGAGCCTCTGGCCTGTACCCCAGCTCTGTATGTACAAATAAATAAATCTTTAAAAAAAAAAAAAAAAGCTCCCTCTTTTAAAAAAAAAAGTATTTTATATCACACGCAGGGTAGATTGAATCAGAAAGTTCAAGTCTGAAAACAATTCCTAGGAACCCCACTGAAGGCAGTGCGCAGTGCGAGACCCACATACCTGTTTCGAGGGGCACGCTGTAGCTGGGCGGGCTCCTCCCCGCCTGAGTTTCGGCCACTGCGGTGACAGAGAACACAGAGCCACAGGGCAAGCCCCCCATGGCGCAGGACTCCCCGGAGCTGCTGCATCGGAACAGCCCCTTCTCCCCCTCAGCAGTCACGGTGTAAGTGGCCTCCTCATTAGTGGCTCGCCAGTGCACGTTAATCACGGAGAAGGCATCCTTGGAAACATTTTTTATTTCAGGACTGCAAGGAGCTAATAAGAGTTTTTACATGATTATCTGAAATAGCCACAAGTATCACAAGTACCTTTTGAGCTAAAACTGACCCCTCCTCAACCCCACTCCAAGTGACACTATTACTTTCAACTGTTTCAGGCATGGAGGCCAAGTTCATGAAAACTTTGTGAAAATCTGTTGCCACTGACCGGTGATAGGGTGTTCCCATAGCATCAGATTTATGAAAATGTAAAGGAGTGTTTTGAATTCCAAAAGCAAAAATACTTCTGCTGAAAGCAGAACACCCATGACCTTAATCTTCATGGCCTTCATGGCAGGCCTCCAGAAGGTAGGCAGGAATGAATGGCCAAGGAAACCAGTGGTAAAACCCTCCACTCTTCCCCAGTCATCCCCTCTTTGGTTTTCTTGTCCCCGCTTTCCCTTTTCATCTCCTCCTCCACCTCTCCTTACTAAGGCAGAGGGTCTAACGATTCCCTGCAAAGAGTGTGGCTAAGGGAACTTAGCCTTTTTGTAAGTCTTGTTGAGTGTCCATCATGAGGGACACAACTGGGATGAACCATCAGACATCACTCAGAGAAAAAATGGTTGCCATGTACCTGTGGTTATGGCTTGGGAAGAACAGGAAGTGTTGCTGCCCCGGACCTCGCTGAAGGAATACACTGTGATGTTGTACTTGGTGTCACACTCCAGAGCGGAGAGGGTGCAGGCAGGAGCTGTGTCCTTGCACTCAACCATGCTAAACCCATCTACAGCCCTGGTTTGGTAAAGTTCAGCACCACGCACAGGAGACCAAACCATCTCTACTCTGTCACTGGATATCAAGATGGGGTTAATGTCGCTTGGACAGCAGGGAGCTGAAAGCAGAACAGAGAGAAAACAGAGGTCAGCCAGAATGGGCACCAGGCCCTGCCTGACCCCCCAGTGCTCATAGCCTCTCATTGCCCTCCTAAATTATTAAGAACCTCCCACACGTCTGCTAAGCTCTGATCTTGGCTTGACACTACATGGGGATAGATCCTTTATGCATGATATTCAAGGTCAGTGCAAAGTATATCCAGTCTACATATTCAGCTACAGCCTCCCCACCCCCATCACAGCAGACTCCTTGATTCCCCACCCCACTGGTGCCCTCACTTCCTTACACTTTGAAGATGGCTGCCCACTACTGGAATGCATTTCCCTTCTCCTGTCTGACAAAATCATACTCTAACTTTCAGAGCCTACCAGTCTTTAAGACACTAAACCAGATAAAACAAGGCAGAATCATTGTAGTAGAAATTCTTAGGAAAGACTCAACATAAAAAACCCTCCATGGATCATGGATCTGTCAGAATTTTCTGACAGATGTCTAACTCAGCTTCTTGTTTTTCTGGGATGTTCTTGCCCACCTACATTGTATCCCATCCTTGAAGACTAAGTTTAAAGCTGTTGTCTCTAGAAGGTCCCCTGCACTCTTGAGACTTTCTTACTCCAAATTCCAAAGGCACAAATTATGATTTCCTCAATCTGGCAAAATGTATTGTAACCTGACTAGCATTGTTACTTACATATTATGTGGTAGTATTCTTGTAAATGTAATTAGTTAACTTCAAATGGCTCACTTCATTCATCCTCTAAAACTTGAGCACCTCCTATCTGTTCATTACTCTATGATAAACACTGAGGATGATGAAGATAAAGAAAACATGATCCCTGCCCTCAAAAATCCGGGCTAGTGGTGGAGAACAATATTAATAATTATGATAATACAAATACCTTGCATTGGGTTTTACTACCCACAAAGAACTTTTCATACTCATGTTCTCATTATTATTTGTTCCATTTTGCAGAATACTGAGGAACCTACAATTAGATATCATTATCTCTTTTTTACTGGTCAAGAAGTCATACTCCAAGGTCCTTCGCACCCCACAGCATCTTTGACTCCTGGTATAGGGGAATGAATGACCGCTGAGAAGTAGGACCTTTTCTCATCTAACGTTGGGCCAAATGCTGAGCAATTCTGGTAGAGGGTTTGATTTTTTAGAGCAGGCTGAATAACTTTCTTTTACCTCTTTTCACTCCAAAACCTTGCATTTTTGTAATGACTGAGCCCATGAAGCCAAAATTTCCTAGTCTAGAAAGAAGGTGAGAGATAAAAGTGACTTTTCATGTCTGATGTGAGAACGACCCCCAAGTAGCCCTGGAAGTCACTAAGTACCATCTGGGTTTCATTCTGCTGCTGAGATAAGTGAACTGAGAACACTTTAAAAGGTAAGGTTGACTTGCCTGTGGTGTAATTGAACACATCCCCCAAAGGACTCTGGCCCGCCTTGTTATAGGCAAAGACACTAATAAAATAAGTGAAGCCACATTCAGATAAGAAATTGCATTGGGTGAGGGAAGTGTTACAGTGCACTTCCAAGCCATCGTCACTCTTCACAAAGGCCACGTAGTAATCTCCCAGATCTACACTGGACCAAGCCACAGACAGGTGACCAGGAGGATCTTCTTGAATTGTCACTCTTCCAGGTGCACAAGCAACTAGAAAATTATAGACAATAAATAGTTGTGAGAGTCCTTCCTGAGATTTCCTTTGCAACTTCTAAATTATCCAGAATCTCAAGACAACCGAAACAGCCTCTGAGCTTTGTAACAGATT